CCACAAAATGCAGCACCTCATGTGACGGCGTTCCGTATTTCAGAAGGGCTTCGCATGTGCCCAACTCGTTTTCAGTTAGGCATCGATTTACTGGAAGCCGATCATACAGAAACTTTGACAATTTGTGGTTGTGTTCAAGAAAATGAAAGGTCACTGCCAGTTGGTTGCTTTACCTCCGTAGACAAAGCCGCACTGGAGAGCTAGTGCTACGCGCGGAGGGCGTCTGCAGCTTTTTTAGTATACCCATTCTTAACGCAGAACAGCGTTCGTGCTTTGATTACTCGGTGAACGCACCAATACCACAAAGTTGTCCTTCATGTATTGATTCAAGGCCTTCTCAAATGCCGTGATGGATGAACACGCTGCTCCTACAAATATCTCAACAAACGATTGTGAAGCCACTTCCAAAGCCATAGCACACGAAGCTCAAAGCTGGATGTGCGCCGATAATTTTCAAAAGAGATCGATTAAAACAAATAGCAAAATGAGACGGCAGATGAGGGAGATTTCTGGACTGAGCACATGCGAAGAAGTGCAACATTTTGACGTTAAAGTTTGTATTTCACCCACAGGGGTTTTGCAGAAAAATGCGTCGTGCGTCGAAGGCGTTGTGGGAGAGACACTGCCCGTTGTGGAGCATTTTACCAACCACGGATCTCCTCCCATACCCTCACCTTCCCAAACTTTGAACTTCGGAAGTGCCCGCTTTGGGCGACCTGGTTAGCTTATCTCCACTCCAGCTGGCCTACGATCTACAACTCCTGGATCACCAAGCGGAACAAGAAGACCTACAATCCCATATCGGTTTCGTTTCAGCTTGTTTCCTCCACCAGGCTGAAATGAATACAGCTGCTCTATGAACTGCACACCCCCAGCTGAATCATCTCAAATGTGACGTCCGTCGCGGGGCTGTCCAAAAACTGAAACATGTCAGGCCAATGATGGCACGGCACTGCTACACTCACTTTCATGGCACACCCGCAACTGTTCCATTCCTCCTCTCGTTCGTGCTCTCTTGCCTACTCGTCTCATTGACCCCGACGACCACCATGACATTCATTCCAGCCTATTGGACTACTCGTTCGAATTCAGCCACCTCTGTGTCCCCAATCAACCTCACTCCTACACCTTCCCAGCAACAGTGCAACCAGTGAGTCTGATTGTTCTCAGATTGCACCATGTTTTTGATACTAAACTTGCCGTGTTCACCCAATTCGAATTATCCCATCTCCACGTCTACTTTTGCCCGCTATGACTCCGGCCATTTATCCAACCGCCCAAGGTCACTTATGGCCAACAACGGTTTTCCAGTTTTAGTTCATGTCAGCCGACTGAGTCTTTGAATTAGTCGGACCTCATGCCTATTGTTCCCTACAAGTTGCAAAATAAACATATTATTATTATTACTTAATCGAGTACCTCCCACTGTTTATGACATTGTCCCCTTTTCGCGCAATCACCACTACCCGCAAATCCCTCTATCAATCCCCCAGCCTGACTGTGAACGCATGATCATGCCAGACGGTATGCCACCCACAAGTTGGGAGTATACATTACTATTATTATTATTAGTAGCTCTGAATGTGGTGGGATACATGAGGTCGATGTACGAATTTGCAAGGCCTCGGGCGTGTTTGTCAATTTAAGAAACCTATGGCATCAATTGTTTGACAATCGTTGTGGCAGCAAATTCGTACAGATGCAACTGGAAACCAAGTTTTTGTATGTGCAGAGGTACTTCTAATAATAATACTAACGTTTATTCCCAATATATGGATAGCATACCGTTAGGCATGGTCATACAGAAGAATGTGTTTAACATAAGAAGCTACTTTGGTTGAGACATGTGTTGCCCATGACAACTATTGTTTGCCTAAGAGTGTTCTGTTTTCCGTGCCCAAGCCAGAGTGGCGAAAGCTGAGTGGTGGCCAGCCCTTGACCTAGGAGAGGGGTATGAATTTGATTACGAAGCCTTTGAGTTGTGTCGGTTTTACTCACTTTTCAGGATAGAGACTGCGTGATTCCCGCTGCGCTTGGTTGGCGACGCCGCCAGATATGGCTGTCGGACGATGTCAGTGGAGTCGTTTTTGTCGTTTTCTATCCAGATTGCTTGAGTGAGTGGCTGGTGTAATAGAAATTCCGCGATGATTGTGGTAATCCGGTGCTAATTCCCTTCCCCATCCCTATCTTTTTTCCCTTTACACCAAGGCTTTCAAATAAATCACGGTTGTACCTCAGCTAAACATCGGTGTTTAACACTGACGCCACAGTGACATATGATGATGATTATTATTAAATCATCCCTCATAATTTGTCACTAACTACTCAAGTCCTAAACACTCCTCACCCGCCGGCTTGCAATGCGAGACGTGGAGCCCACTCAGATCGTGCCCCCATAAGCAGTACTGGTGTAGACAATGCAGGAACTCGAGCCACAAAGGCGTTTGATATCGGGTACGCTCACCCGGCATGCCCCACGCACAATGAAGCGGCAGTCACGCCTCTCGAATTCAAAACCGGTGTGCTCCGGTTCTGGATCATTTCAACAGTCTACGTCACACCGAAACTTCCTCACTGTCTCAACTGATGGCCTCGCACTCCGCCTGTAGTTAGATACTTTTTCAAGCGTTGCCATTATGACAAAAATGTTTTGGCACATGCTTGGTTAGCTGTCAGTCCGACAGTCCCACAAATCCACGATGAATTTCGGCAGCTGTTCCGCAAAGCTGGAGCTGGCTTACTCATTCCCGCAAGTGGAAGTTGCGCCGGGGTCTCAATCTGTACTGGCCATCAACATGCACAAGGATTTATGCGAATAGAATTATCTAGCACCATGCGTTATGGTGGCCCTGCGATTTTCCAACAGCCGATGGATATTGTCCTTTCGGGCATTCAAAGTGTGGTCGCCTACCCGACTTGTGCGCTGAGTGTTGCCGGCCCTCTTCATAGGCGGTGCGAGCAGACCGTAATGGTGCCTGAATGTGTGCAGGACGATTGCCTTCGCCCCCGACATGGAGATTGTTAATCCCTAATGACAGCCGTTAAGCGCCTCAGGCTAAGCTCTGATGCCTCCGGCAGGCATCCAGATCCCGGAAACGTGCGTGAAATTCAACAGATCCCTCCCTCACAATCCCACTACGCCTCGCTCTCTCTTAAGCCTAGTATGCCACTATCAAGGATCTCTGCCGGTTGCGCACAATGCCCCGCCGTTGGTGAATCGCCTTCCGAAGTAGGACTTTCCTTGGTTGTGGCCAGGGGAATGCAAAGCTGCATCCCGTTAGCTGACGTCCGTGCTGATCTCCGAATTGCTATTGATGCACCACGGTCCAAATCTGCCGTGATAGCTTATATTTCCGCTTACGGTGTTGGTGCTGCTATGCTTCATGTATTTCCCGGCGAAATTGAGAGGGCAAACACGCACGCGCATCATCAAGCATAACTAACCTCAGCGAAATCGCGCTATGACCAAACTGAGGAAAAAGCGTTGGCGCCGGTCTCTGCCTTTTACCGTTCCGATGCCATGAAGATGTCGATCCAATCTTTTGACCGATTACGGACGTATTTTCAAAAACCATACTGCGGAGGAATAAGACTGCGTTATTGTTATTCTGTCCGACGATGACCACGTCAACCAGCAGCCTTTTCTAACAGCCCAGGTCTTACCGGTGAATATGCGGAACAACCGGCTTACGACTTCGGCTGACCCAACACTGCAACAGGCTACCTATTTCTCCAGGATGCACTAGCCGGCAAAGTTCTTGAACGACAATTTTCAACCTTTTCTCATCGTCGGGATTCCATGTCTTTCTTTGGCAACTGCCTCAGCATTTGAGAACGTTTTGTAGTGCCGCGTTTGGTACGCCTTTGGTTCCTGAAACGGTTCCATTTTGAGCACCGTTGAGTAAACCGTAGTTTCGTTTACCGGCAACACACTATCATGACATCTCAGACTACGTTAAAGTCTGCTCGCAATGTCAACACTTTGAAGGAAATTCTTTACGCCTGCTGCTTGGCTATGACCTGAACAACATTGGTCACTGGTGCATATTGATAACGGTGGCTCTGGCGATAGTATAACCTACTTCATCTTGGTTGACGCTTCTTCTGAGTGCTTGTGGTTCGGCGAACGATTGCTAACATCCTGCTTGCTGTGTCTCAAATCTTCAGCCAGCATGGTTTGCAGGAGACACTGTTGGATAATGGATCATGATCTATGTCCAGTTGCTTCCGGGAGGTCTTTAGAAGAAATGCCGTCAAGTCGGCTCCTCAATTACCGTCCCACCCGCAGTCAACCCTTATGACCGAAAGTTTTGTTGATCCGTTAAGGCAGACGCTGCTAAAACCCCGTAGAAAGGAGATATCCATCGAAGTTCTCCAGAGTTTTTTTGATCAATGTGACCGATCCCGACGATACTTCGTAAAAACCGGAAGTCACCAGCTGAAGCACTCCTGGAGGAAATATTACGGACCACTAACCGGTCTATTTCTCCCACACTGACAATTCGTTCTTGGCTATCGGTAAATGCATAACAACCCGGTTCGATATGGGTGTTCAAATATTTTAGAAACTATTGGCCAGCGCACGAATGCTAGATCCAAGTCTACCTTATACGAAAATGCGGGAGCACAATGTATATAGTTTCTGTCGGCCAAGACGCCCCGATGCTACGCAAACAACTCCGTCCCCGCCATCTTTCGGAACAACCAGCGAAGCACAGTAGCCTACAACTGAGCATTCTTGTCGACATTTTTTAAGTACAGCCAATCACACCTGAAGTAACGCTGCCAAAAACGACAAACAACTGATCAGTCTGGGACTCAAAACTTCTCATAAGAGGATGAACCGATCGCTTCCGACGCCAAACGGTTCATTCCAAGACTGAAGCTAAAATTACCCGCTACTGAATTTCCATCACAGGTAGGTATTGGGGTACCGTTATCTGCAAAGACCATTGACTTGCCAAGGTTTTGACCGTTTTTTTTGAAAATTTGGATTTTTTTCACTTTTTGTGCCGTTTGCTGGGGCATGAGTAACGCATGCTCAGGTTGCGCCTGCCGAGCCGCTTGTCGTTTTTCGGAGTGGCATAAAACTGGCAGTGGACAGGATTCAAATTGGCGGTAGCGGATGAAATTGGTTCGAAAAATTTTGGGCGTTGTTGCTGCAGTTTCCCACTAACCTTCGCTGTGCTTTGCTGGAGAAAGTGAGAAATACGGTAGCTATTCGTCGTAATGGCGTCCATGTTGTCAGACGCCACCCATAATACTTGCCTGAGGGCAGGCATGTTGGCGGATGTAGTTTAAACGATTGACTAGATTATGCACGTGTGATGCGTGCGGAATCAGTACCTATAAAATAGGCTCGGCAGGAGGCTGCTTCCTCGTGGGACCCGGGATGTTGTGCTTTACAGTATAGACTTCATCAATACGGATACATGTCGCCTTAGTTTCGTCACCATTTACCCTACCTAAATGACAGTCGGCTTGATTTTTACGGAGTCAAAAGTTGAGACAGAACCTTGTGAGTGGTATGATAACAAGGCAAAGTATACTTTGCTCTGGATCACGTAGGGCTTTTTGTGCGTCCATTCTGTGTACCCAACGCCAAAGAGCCTGGGAAGTTGCGAGCACATTGTGCCTGCGAGGGATTGGATTCATTGTTGACAGATACCTCAAAGAACTAGGTAGCCCAAATTTACTAGAAGAATTAAATCTCAATTAGTGCTCAACTAAGCTTACTGTCAACTGTTGTGATCACAATTTTTTAAAAAAACATAGACTTTCGACACAAAGATTTGCTTTTTATTTGTTCGTTTGATGTAGTGTTTCCTTACTCAGAGCTGCACACCTAACAGCTAATAACCACTGTAGATGTTGTCACGTGTCTACTGTTCGGCTTAACCCTTTCATGGCACGTTGTACCGCCAGTGATTTTGTCCACCTCTGGAGAAGTGATGGTGCATAATTGGACAGTGATGACTATAAGTATGTCAAAAGGGATCTCCTAGACGTGACTTTTCCTAGTCGCGTGTCTAGTACCATACTGTTGCACTCTTCACTAAGTCACGCCATCTCAGAGCTGAATGTATCTTGCCTTCAAAAAGTTAGAAGAAACGCTTTGCTGGTGTAAGGCCAAATTTTGCGCGCTCTACTGGCATCACCATCGGAGATAACTTGAAGAGTGCTTCACAATCTAGTCCTGCATTCTAACCGGCACTCGGGACCTGACCAGACTAAACGCATGATATTGAATACGCTACAGCACGTAGGCTTCGCGTTTATGGATGTAAATGGAAAAAAGCGTAATCCATAACAGTAGTGTGTGGAAGGGGATAGTAGCATCTCCGTCAGGCGACCTGAAAATGGATCGAGCTTGGTAGACCCAGTGCAGAATATACTTGAAAGTTACGTGGTTTTGGCTGTTTCTGAGTAAGCTAGACCATTCGCATTAAATACGGCTAGAAAAAGGTCTGTTTGGAGGCTGGTAAAGCGGAAAAAACAAATGACTGCTAAAACACCATGGGAACTTTCTGAAAATTATCGTTTACTTAAATAATTAAGTGACCATTAAAGGAACCTATCGTGTTGAAGGAAACTAACAGCGATGCAGGGCTTGTATGCTTGATATGGGAAGCAGAAAAATGAGCAAAAGAGGGCTGGGACACAACTTGGAGAACTGGAGTCACGAGAGACCATGGTGCACAATAAACGACATAAGTGGCATGCAAAGTAAAGCTTTTAATGACCACAATGGCGTTTTAGCGATACGTTGAACGTTACTGAGCGTGGCCACGGCCCTCTCCGACAGCCTTCGCCAGACGTTTTCTGATGACGTTGGCAAGGTGGCAAACCTAGCGTACCTCTATAATTCTGTGGGTTGTGTTGGCTCCGGCACCGATCTTCGTGGTACAACAGTGTCACGGGGTCAGAAGAGAAATGATCAAGCCATTTACAGCACGCTTGTGGCATTTCACCCTCAAAACCCGGGGAGATGAACCTCTAACAAACTCCGACCGAGGGATGTCGTGGGTTCCCCATCACCTCAGAGCAATGCATCCTGACACATCATTTGCATAGCCTACTTCATTCACTTTATTTCTAGATTCAAAAGCAGGAATAAAATACAGTCCGAAGTAAACCGACCCTCACCGCGGCAAATTAGGGAATGTTGCTTGTGAAATGTCCTCTGTAGTTACAAATAAACCACCGTCATCTTTTTCATTACGAACTCTCAAACTGGAATAAGCTGTCAATGTGTTGCGTGCAACTAACGATCCTCATTCCTTGTGCTAGCTCTACGGTGGGCAAGCTTTATTAAGGAAGCCTTTCACTTCAATACAGGGTGCTGAGTTTGGATCAGTATGGATTGGTAAAACTCTGCCGGTGTACACCGTTGAACTCAAGACACAACAATATCCTGCCCCACTCCTGGGCGCTTTTGCTTATCATGCGGTACTAACAGACAACACTTAATAAAGCTGTTATATTGAGGAGGGATGCGTCAACGAGTAAGCTACGGCCGCAAGAACGACCTCAACATGCAGTCCGTACCTGCCTGCATCGTTAAAACACATCACCTGGCTCTAGAATGCAGTGCAATTGGGAAAAGGAACCTAGGGAATCCCAGTTTTCAGCATTAGAGGAGATCCAATTGGCACATAGTTACACTTGGCACTTACTAATCTCTTAGCGTTTAGTATCAAAACTAGATATATATCGCTCACACGTTCTCATCTTTAACTGTTCCCTGTGCTCATCCATACGACACCAATGGACATGAATACAAGCGAGAGCCTTTATACGACTCATACCTGAACGTCAACTGTGAAACTGCTAAGAACGGTAGCTAAGTTTGGTGAAACCAACGATTTGGGCACCAAATAGAAGACAGTCGCTGACAACGGATAAAGAACTCCGTCGTTGAAAGCTTTGCCCACGTCCTACTGATGCACAGGTTGCTTGCCAGCTGGTTTGGTGGTATGGTGATCCTTCTGACCATTGTACATTAGTACTTTCTTTGGAACTTATCATTACTCAAATTGTACCACTTTCTATCGCTCACTAAATCTCAGCTTATTCCTCTTCTCTTCATACCGAATAACTTTTGTTTAAGTGAAGGCAAAGAAGTATGAATGCATACAGACAATACAAATTCTGTACTTCGTGAAAGGCGTGTTCCCTTCTTACTGTGTCGAGTTACGCTGTCAGTGAATTAACGAGCGGTGATCTAACGTGCAGACTACGACGGGATAGAAAGCATCTAGGAATATGTCAAGGAAGATTCCAGGAAGGAGCTCGACTTGGATTTATTGTGGTTATAATAAGTAACTGTACCAACGAACCGTAAGTTGTATCATCTCGCCCACTTCTACTCAGTTGATTTAACTGCTTTGAACTGGTATTTGCTGGCGTTATCTACTACAGTGGTATTTCATGACCTTCCATAGTACGCAGTCATTTTTGTGACATGGCTGACCATGTCAAAAATCACGTACAGTTGAACTATGGTCTCTAACATCACATCACGGACTTCCAGTTCGACAGCAACAGTCGCCGTGACGATATCTTCTTCCATGCAATTCTAATCACAATTGTCAAGGTTAAGGAGAGTTATCCTCAGGCACCAATCCATCGACGAACCTTGCTGATAAACCCTGCGGAAACTTGATTGGCAGCCCACAGAAGGGTCTGATGTTTTAGAGTTTTGCAGCACATCACAGCCCAGACCATTCTGGAAGGAGTGCCGGATCTCGGTATGTCGCCCAAACCCGAGTCCTGGTATGAGGTGTTATCCATAGAACCCTCCGGTGCTCTTTTACCATTCAGGCTGTCGCACATTGAAATGAGAGCGAAAAGACTGCAAGCTTGGTTAGTTTTAGCCTATCGATTTCAGCACCTATTGGACATCTGCAACCTGGTGTTACGAATGGAACCTAGAATTGAAGTCAACTTGGTCTCCGTGAAGGGAGAGGCGTGGGGCATCGCATCACTTTTGCGCTGGTGAAAGTTCCAACATGCACTAATGTTCATCTGTGTACGCAATGTAAGACTCCCATACATCCATGCTCAACCAGAAACTGTCTTTTTCTACTTATGCACCCTGGAAGCTGGATAGATACCGCATTGTTAACTATGTATTATGCCAATTTCGTGTTTAGCTAGCTGAGCCCATACCGCCCACTAAAAATGTTTTCATCCGGCCGCAGGGTTACTTTCGGTGACACCAATGAGTCCATCCTGTTCTACTATTCCCCATGATTTTGTACTGCTAGCTGTCATTTATCCCAATTTGCAAATTCCTTCACCTCATCAAACCCACTTACACTTTCCGTGACCCTGGCTGTTAACACAAATGTCCAAAGCCATGAAACCTTAAGACGGGTTTACAGTTTCAGTCCACGTTTGCTGGCCGGGTCACTCCTGGTCCTCCAGATTTTCAGTCCTGTTTTCTGTAATTTGCAGTTTCCACGTGGTAGACGGAACACCATTGTCTAGCCTTCCCTCTGCCTCGTTACTGTCCACCATCCTCGAATTGTTACTGGCCGATTTCGCTTTAATTTGGTATGTTCCGGCGCGTGTTGGATGATGCCTATTATATTTTGTTACTGCTCCTACTGCATTCACAACTGGTGCCAGTGTTGCCTTTATGCCAAATGTACCATTATGATCATGCCTGACGGTATGTGACCCGCCGGTTTGGAATTGCAACTTCTCAGATTGGATATCGTCCCAATCCACCAGACGAGACCTTGCGCCAAGCTGGTCTAGATCTTTAGTCCACGTAAGTTATTTTTTATTTTGGCACTTGGACAGCCCAAAACTGCTGTCGAACCGAAATTCCGTGCTGGATAAAATGAACATTCCGCCAAAGCATTCAAATACGCACAAAGCACAGTCCAGCAGTAGCTATTTTTAACTGTAAACTGCTTTTAGTTCCCTTATCTCAGTACCTTCGAAAGCCTAACGTGAATAAAATCCAGGGTGTAGGTGCTCCCAAGAGGATAAGCATTGACAGCGAAGTTATTTTCATTTCCTGAAGTCCTGGCTTTTCCAGCCGAGGCTTCATTTAGGTGGTGAGGTAAGTCTAGGCCGAGAAGCTGACTATTTCCTCCTCATGCAAACAGTAGCCACTGAACGAACACAAACCTTGGGAACGCACAGACCTTGGGAATTTGTACATTAAAACAACCTCTGA